TATAATTATAATAATGATATATATATTATAAAATATAAACAATCAACGTGTCCCCCCCCTCAGCGGGCCACGGTAAAATTATTAAACGTTGACCGGTCCGCGGCGATAAAAAGGTTGGGGAGCACTGGTCTAGGGTGTTAAAAAGTTAGTTTATTTTTATCAATGAACAAAATGAAAAGTAAATAAATAGAAGAGAAAGCCAAATAATATGTGGTGTAACCACCCTTTGCCTTCAAAACAGCACCAATGTTTCTAGGTACACTTACACACAGTTTTTGATGGAACTCGGCAGGTAGGTTGTTCCAAACATCTTGGAGAACTAAAAAGAAAATATACTTACCCGATCATTGTTCCTGCCTGGTTGCTAGACCGGTCCCCACAGCCTTACCTCCCCTCTGCTCCTGCAGGGGAATGTCTTGCTGTGTCCTCATGCATAAGATTGTATAGACATGATGACATCACAGGTCAATAGACTGCCGGAGCAGATGGGGAGAGAGGCTGCGGGGACCAAGGTTTGGGTGAGTATATTGTTTTTTCTCACTTTACACCCTAGGCCAGGGTAGGCAACCTTGGCTCTCCAGCTGTGCTGATAATACAAATCCAATCATGCTTCTGCCTCTGGGAGTCATGCCTGTGGCTTGCGATGCCTTTTGTAATTTGTAGATTCAGCACAGCTGTAGAGCCAAGGTTGCCTACCTCTGCCCTAGACTAAAAACGAGCACTTAACCCTTGCAGAGTGAGGGTAGCCTCACTGCAAGGATTACGTTTTATTCTGCCCAGAGTTCTTCTTTAAGCAAGTCAGCAGGAATGGCGTTATCAGTAATTTCAAGATAGTAAACAATCCCAAAATGTATTGTTTTGTAGGATGAGTTTATTATGCCCTTGCAAAGTTAGTACATTAAATATATATATATATTTTACTATGCAAGTATATATTTTTTAATCCCAGTGATGCAACAGTCGTGCTGCTGTGTAGTTCTCAGTCTTCTCCCCAGGAAACATATCAGCGGGTGATGGCGGAGGAGGAGGAGGAAGTGGTGTAATTGGAGAATGAAGAGGAGAGGGTGCAGAAAATTCCAGATAACCAACATAAGCAGGATGGGTACAGTCCAGCCAGCAAGGTTTTTTGTCAAAGTCCCCATCATTTCCATTGCGTCCCATCATCCTTTAAGAAGAAATACAGCCAGTGACCAGCCAACTATATTTAAAGGATTAAAATCTATAATCTTTTCATAAATACCTTTAAACAGTAAAATGACTAACATGCTGCCCAATTGTACCTAATTTGGAACATTGACTTTATTGAGTAGTACACATGCAGAGATTGACCTGCTTTGCATTGTGCTGCATTTCTTCAGACACAGCATGTCCTATGACGGTATGTATGAACTGAAGGCAAAGCTGGGCAAATTAATCCTTGTCTTGTCAAATGCTGCATTGTCCATCCAAATGCCACTAAGGACGTGTGAATGGAAAACACAGCATTAAACTAGAATGCCAGTAATGTGAACCCTTACTGTATCAGACTAGTGGCATGCTACCATTCATGTGACATTACCCTAGTGGTGCCATGTTACCAGTGATTGGGCACCAACATTATGTCTTATGCTCTGTGATGTGTTATTTGTTAGAGTAAATGCTGATTAATAGCAACTCTACCCTTCACCCTGTTAGAATACACATTCTTGTATCTATTGCAACACCTCCTGCAGTAGAAAATTTTGGTCAGTAGATGGCAGTGTTTATAGGTTCTGTTATATCTATGGTATATACTCTGTTGTATTGAAAAAGGAAGAGAATAAAGCTGTGGTTTCCTTCCTGTTTTCCCAAGCAATGTGCAGCATGCATATCAGACTGTGTGCTTATGTTTCTCTGTTAGGTTGTGCAAGAAGTTCCAACACACCCTCCATCTGGGTTCTGTCTGTAGAGTTGCAGTAAGGTTCAATAGTCACTAAAATGGTATGTCCTCCAGGCTTAGTGGAATGGTGGATAGATGGGAGCCAGATGCACACACCATTTCTGTGACAATGACTACATACACATATATAAAAACATTTACCCCCCTGGTGGCATGGCTTGACTCTTCAGTTGTCTAGGATATTCTGGTGACAGCAGCAGTGTCAGACAATGCTGAGGGTGCCTTTTGCTCCCTCTCCCGCCTACTCCTCTGTCTCCCGCCTCCCCCCCACCTACTCCTTCTCCCGCCAACTCCTCCTCCTCCGCCTTTGGTTGCCCAATCCCGCTCAAATCTCTCACCAACCCCAGTAAAAACGCACGGTTTCACATTCCACCCACTCACAGGTAATTGGTTTTATGTGATCTTAAATAATTTTTAGTTTTCAAACATAAAACAGCGTGAACAGAGGCTGAGATTAGCCAGTGGTCAGTTACAAAAATCAACCCCCCCCCAAAAAAAAACAAACACCATAATAAAAAATAAAAAAAATCATTCCTTAAGTCACATGAATGGCAAGATCACACTTTGCCTCTAATCAGCATTACATTGTGGGAGGAGAGTTCAAACAACATGCACATCGCTTCCTGGTGATGTAGATACGTGCTGGGCAAAGACCATCAAAACATCCTCTAGTGCAGTGGTTCTCAACTCATGGGTCGCGCCCCAAAAGTGGGTCGCGACACCTTCTGCAGTGGGTCGCGGCGTCCTTCCTGCAAAGAGCGGCCCATGTTCAAGAGGGAGACATAGAGGGGTGATTTGTGCGAGCCAGCCTGTGGGAACTATATATTGAAAACTGTTCCCTCTCATACACCCCCCTGCGCGTGAACTGACCCGGGGAAATCGGGGACTATTTCCTCACTTTCGGGCGGCGGAATAATATCGAGAGGAGAATGAGCTGGTCCCGCCTCTTAGGGGCGGAGCTAAGAGGGCCGTCTCTTAGCTCCGCCCCCTGGTCGCCAAGACGAGGAAGAGGGCCATGGGCCTGAAGGAGAGGGAAGGTAAGTTTGGAGTGGGAGGGGGCGCTGGGAAGAGAGAGAGAGTGTGTGTGTGTTTTGCTGGGACTTGTAGTCCTGCATAGCTGGTGGTAATCTGCATTGCTATATGATGATTATACAGCAATGCAGAATAGCACCATCTATGTAGGACTACAAGTCCCAGCAATGCATTATAGGGTGGGGTTTGGATGCTGGTGGTATTCTGCATACCTTACTTTTATTATAATGTATTGCTGGGACTTGTAGTCCCGCATAGCTGGTGGTATTGTGCATTGCTGTATGAAGATTATGTAGCAATGCAGAATAGCTCCATCTATGTAGGACTACAAGTCCCAGCAATGCATTATATTTTTTAGTAGGGATACACCAGTGTTAATAGTTAGTGTTGCCTTCCCAGAGACCATGGAAGCTGAGAGAAGTAGGCAGGCTGGCAGGGAGAGGTTTGCAGTTTTGTTAATAATGTGTGGTGAACAGATAAAAACAGATCATAATGTCCATGCTGCTAGCTCTTCCCCTGTCAGTGCAGAAGCTGGGAAAGGGGGGGGGGGCATTGGCAGGGGCTCTGCTGCTCATTTTCTATAAGTATAGCCGCCCAGATCACTTGTAGCAGCCTACTTGTGTGGCGTACCATCACCCCCCGCACCACCACCCTCTGTAGTTTTCAGGGTCCCCTGGCAAATTCATTCAGGATGGAGAGAATTTATAAAGTGATAAAAAAATAATAAAAATTACAAAAAAAAATTAAAACCAACCCTGCCGCCCTACCATCTGCCTGCAAATAAACACGTGCACATGGGGCATGTGTGTGTACTTAAAGGACGATTGTGCCATACAGGTTAGGTATCACTGCGAATGTGAAACTATTTTTGGGTCGCGACTTAATGACCAAGGACAAATGTGGGTCCTGAGGTTACACAGGTTGAGAACCACTGCTCTAGTGCTTACAGTGCTGGTGTCATGATGTAAGGAGCGGTTACAAGACTGGTGCACAAAGCAGCTTGCGCTTACAGGTCTCCATTAATAAAAGAGGTACAGCTGACATGAACATGGATCCTGGTAGTTAAAATGAGGCTCCTAATGAATATTTGTGGTATTAAAAATGGTTGAATATTTTGAAGCTCCTATGTTTTTAGTCTGGAGTTCAACTTGAAAAGTTTTTTGTTTTTTTTTAAATAAATGGATAAAGTATTTGAGAGACCATAATAACTAACCAGGTTGTCTCACATTTAATAACCCACACTAGAAAAAAAAAAATCTGGATTGTCACTACCGGCTAAGAAGTTTTTTTTTTTACCCA